TTTTTTTTTTTTTTTTTTTTTTTTTTTTTTTTTTTTTTTGTTTGTTTAATTCGATAATAAATGTTTGAATGTCATTTGCAAACATTACTCATTGATATATAATTAATTAATTTTTTTTATTTATTTAATTTATTTATTAGCATTTATTCCTTTATAATATTTTGTGGGAATAAATACATTTATTGTATTTTCTTATCTTTTGGTATATCTTAAAATATTTGAATTCTCCACATTGGTGTTTACATTAAGTTCACATTTTATCACTCTCTCAGTGTAACTTGCTATAAGAAAAGTATATATTTCTTTATTAGCTTTATTTTGTTATATTTTGAAACAAATTAATGTCAATGAACATTTTTAAAAATAATTATTAACTGATCCTCAAGGCAGGTGAGCTACTGCTGCAGGTTCGTGAAATGTTACAATTATGAGACTCGTTTTTTCGATAATATACTTTTTACTGTGAGATGTTACACATATGGACGAATATTTCCTTTAAATCTACTATTTACTGTGAGATATTATACTAATTGAAGGCATTTTTTCTAAAATATACTCTGGCTGTGATTTCTTATTTATATTTGAGTCCATTAAAAAAAAAATAAGTATACTTTAAAAATACTGATATTTAATGTTCATCTTGAAAAATTATTTGAATCACTGCAGCTTCTTTAATATTATCTAAATGATGTATATATCCACCTGCCCCCCCCCCCCCTTTTTTTTTTTTTTTTTTTTTTTTTTTTTAAAGATTTTTTTGTTGTTGATAATTTCCATACGCGTCCCTAAGTCCGTAAGCAGATGTGAAACAACTTACCCAATTCATTTATATTTTCCGTTAACAATCCAAGTGTTCTAACTCTCCAATTATAAAGAATGTGTCGATGTGTTTTCTTTATAAATAGTGCAATATCTAATGTTCAACAAAAAAATAAAAGAATTTCATTGAAAAAAAGGAAAAGAGACGATTCTGCAAGAAAGCAATACTAATTTGTACAAATTAAATATAGAATCAATAGGAGCCATTACTTTCAAATTTAAAACAAATTTTAAATATTGATTTCAACCTAACATGTTGTTTTATATTCACTTCTGTGAGCCAAAGGCTGATAAAAGACATTCCGTAAATGTTCTAGAAGGTCAATCTTTTGAATAGGAACTAACAAACTAGTCCAAACTCTAATAAAAATAAATGGACTCTAACTATAAAAATATTTAAAGTTCAATTTTTTTTTTTTTTTTTTTTTTTTTTTTTTTTTTTTTTTTTTTTTTTAATTTTTTTATTTTTTTTTTTAAAAAAAAAATGGGGGGGGGGGG